ATATAAATAACTATTAAGATAGATAATATTTGTTTTTTAATACATCGTTTACTAATCACTGGACTAAATAACGACGGAGATGTCAAAAGTTTATTAAAATAATAAGAACAACGATATTTTCTACTAAAAAATAAAGATTAAAAAATTGAACACAATCTTATTTCATAAGATTATAGTATGATGTATCTTTTATCCATTGGTAGTGATAGAAACAAATGTAGAACATGTATACTGCAAGCCAAAAAGTATCATATTAAAATATTCCAAAATTTCATTATAGATGGTAAACAAGATTTTCAATATAAATTTTTCATATTGTCTCTTTTTTTATGATATTTGTACTATACCGAATGAAATCAAGTGTCTATTTACTGTAAATAATCGATTTGTGTCAAAATGACACGAACTTAAATATTCAAAATATTTCTTAATCATATATAGATCATTATTTTAGTGAATAAATTAAAATAATGAGGCAACGTCAATTCTACTTTTTATATACAGGAAGATGAAAATAATATTAACAACAAAATAAATGCGGAAACCTCGGATTTGCATCCGAATGTTATGTGTACTCAAAAAAAAGTCATAGGGAAATATCAGTATTTTTGCAATAACTCGGGAATGGCCCAGCCAATTAGGCTCATCTTCGAACTCGACCGAGATCTAGATAAGATTAAACTGTGCACAAAATTTCAGCTCAATCGGACTATTCTTTCAAACGTTATCGTGCATACGGCCGGCCACACTGACCGATTCTAGAAGTGTACTCACTTTTTTGAGTACGCAAAAACAACGTAACGTTCGTATACACAGAGTATTATAATGGTTTGAAAAAAATAATGATGTACCGAAACGTCCTGTATGATAACTCAAAAAAATAAGACCCAGAATTAGCAAAACATTTTAAATAAGCTTGTCAGTTTAATAGTTATGTTATATAATGGTAGAGACATCTACACTTTAATTGTTTTGAAACCCTAGTTTTTATGAAATTGACTTTAAGAAAATGCTTGATTTTCTGGTGAAAGTCAATACTAATATTTATCAGCTCTCATTCATGTCTAAATACAGTCTAGGGCCAAGTGAATCAAGTTTCAATGAACGTCACTTGTCAGGAAACAGACATATAATAAATATTTTTAATATAGACTCAACCTATTTGTCTATAATAAAACAAAGAAAGAAGTTAAACATATCATTTTTTGATTTTATATGACTATAGTAAAGTCATGTATTACTATTTATAAAAAAATAATAATTTAAGTTCGACACTTTCACAAATATTTTGTTAACAATTATCTTTCAGAGTGATACTCAGTACTTTATGTTCTTTAACAGAATAAAAAAGGATGTATATTATAGATTAAAACAACATATGGTTTATTAAAACTATTCTCTTTTCTTTTGGATTTTTCTATGTAATACTAATACCGACAAAGAAATTTAATCTTTCCGCCTATCAGTGTTACATGGAATAATCCAAGAGGAAAAAAAAGAGAAAGAAGAATAGTTTTGGTAATGATAAGAATGAAAAAGGGAATATAACCATTTTCAATATATTAGATAAAAATGACAATGTAAATTTTCTCATCATAAATTTCCAGAAGGGAAAGTTAAAATGGGAATCTTTTCTTTATAATCGATGAAAAAAAGATAAGAAACAGCACCTTGAAATCTAGTATCAAGAGTCAGATTTCGTTAGTGGCTAATAACATAGGTAACTGCGATAACGATATAACTGTGATCAAAATTTTTTTGCATTAAACTCAATTATTAATAAAAGCACAATTCGAAATAAATCATGTACGCGCGAAAAAAGCTTTTGATTAATTTCTCAATTACATTGGATATGTAAAATGCAAAAAAAAACTACTGATTTTTATTACGACGAATACAAATCGATGACTCATATTTTGTTTTGAGGCGCGTAGTTTTAGTCTGTCATTTGTTGTTATTACTCATTCTCCTACATTAAGGGTGTCAACTAAAAGGTGTAGCTGTCACATGTTTGTAGATAAATTGTTTTAATGCAACGTAAAGTAATTCTGACGTTATTTGATAGACAACAAAAAACAAAACACATCTATGACTCATTCCTTTCTATTGCAGTATTGCATAAAAAATATTCTCCCACACATGACTCATGATAGTGACACGTATATATATGAAATTATGATTCTGTTTTTTCTTAGCATAGACACAATTTTTAATAATGCCACCGTATGGTGATAATATTACTGATTATCAAACTTTATCTATTAATACAAATAATCTTGATCGATATCAAATTCGATGGATGGCTGAAGACGATATTGAGACAATGACCAAAATTGATCGCGATACTTGGGGTGATACATCATGGTCTTCTAAAGATTTTTTTAAGTCTTTGAATAATTTAAGTTGGAATTGTTGGATACTTGAAAACCCTAATAGTAATCAACCCATACTTGGTTATGGTCTTCAGTATCAATTAGATAATATTTCCCATGTAGCGAACTTAACTCTTCATCCTAACCAATGTGGACGTGGTTTGGGTGGTATACTTTTACGTCATATGATAGAGTATGCTCGTCAAAATGATGCTACTAAGATAACACTAGAAGTGAATACATCAAATACACGTGCATTTAAATTATATGCTAATCATGGTTTTGAAATAATTGAGTATCTTGAAAGATATTATTCAGATACTGCAGATGCATATCGAATGGAATTGCTTTTTGATGTAACATATTAGAAATTTTGAATAAATTTATATGGTATTTATGTGTTTAACATACATTATTTACACGTTTGTTTTTAAGTAAAAAAAGTACATTCTATTTCTCCGCGAAAATAAACTCTTGTTTGAGGAGGAATCTTTGAAAGGAAAGGAAAAAAAAGTTATCGCCGAAAATTAACGTCCTTCCTTCGGAGTAATATTGTTCGTCTTAAATATAAAAGCAACTGATTATATTACTTGTAAAATAAAAAATGTAGTCTTTCGATGAAGTGAAGGTGTAGATAAAATTTTCTTTTTATCAACTGAAAATAGTTGAGAATGTGGTAGAAAATAGGTCATTCTACTGATTACTTCTTATATAGACGTCTCTTTCTTTTTTTATTGTGTCAATAGATGACATAATATAATCTATCGCGGAAAAAAAATTTTTTTTTTCTTCTAATCAAAAAAGAAGTGCGTTTTTTCGTAGAAATTTTTACAGTATAAAAGTACATGTTTACTTAAAATTATGCCATTCTAGATTTTTATTTTATATTTATGACTGATATGCCAACAATACAAAGAGTATCTCCATCCTATGTGACTAAAGCACTAGTATCCAAACCATATGGTACATATGTTATTCGATATCAAACAACAAATGATGAAATTATTTCAGCAATACAAATTAATAATTCATCAACAGCATCTACTCCTAAGATTCGTTATGTTGTACTATCAGTACGTGTTGATGAAACACTATACAAATGTCCAATAATGAATTATCGTTTACCACTTACGCAAGACAATCATGCTAATTTATTACAACAATATAAATCTCAACATAGTAAACGAGATAAATTAACAAAATTAACCAATGAATTAATTCTTAAATCAGAAAATCGAACATGGCTTTTAGATTCAAAAGAATTTCATGATATAGATTTTAAAGAAAGTGGATTCGGTGGTAAAAATAATAGTGGTACATCGAAAGCTATTTGGCAACGACGAAAAATAGATAATATCAATATATTTATTAAACGTATTAGAAAACCTAATGATCATTTCGATAATGAATTACATATACTTAAAGAACTTAATTTCTTTTCTACGATTACACTCTATGGTTATTATTCTGATCCAACATATAATTATTTAGTATTATCAAATGGTGGGAAATCACTTAAATCAATTTGTCCAATAATAGGTAAAACAATAAGATCACGAATGTCTCGTATTGCGAATATTGGCTTTCAAATAGCTAATGCAATGGTTTATCTTGATAAAAAAAATATTGTTCATCGAGATCTCACAGCAAGTAATGTACTTATTGATTCCTATGGATTTATTCGAATTGCTGATTTTGGTCATGCAATTCAGAGAAAAGAAGGAGAAAATCATCTCACATCAACATATACAAAAGATGGTCAATGGAAATTTCAAAGTCGTTTTCTTGCTCCTGAATGTATATCAAAACGATCACAAACTTCATATAATCAATATTCAAATCTTGATTATGCTAGTTTTTCATCGAAAAGTGATGTATGGGCATTTGGTCTATTATTAATTCAACTTATGCTCAAAGCACCTTCAATACCATATCCTGATTTAAAACACAATGATGATGTACTACATTATATTTTAGTCGATCGTAAAATGCATCCAAAACCTGATGATTGTGATTATGATTTGTATTGTATACTTCAATTATGTTGGGCGTATGAACCTATATCTCGTATTTCATTTAATGAACTACGAGATAAAATGAGAAAACTAGTGGTAATTTTCAGCTGAATGAATTAATTGGTTAATCAAGATATGTGGCTTAAACAAATAAACCAATTTATGTTATGTAAATCTGGTTTTTCATCTTTTATGATGAAATAATCTATAGGAAAACGAAATACTGTGCTAAGCAAGGTTTTCAATCGTTATGCTTTTGTCTTTCATAGCAAAAATCTTTATTTATATTATTAAAATCTCTAATAAGATTTGATAGAATTTATTGTACAGCGTCTTTTTTTTAAATAAAATCTGCATAAATATTTACGCCTTTTTTTGTTACATATTAAAATTCAGTTATTAAAAATAATATGGTCCTTTAGTACACCTACGACAAAGTCAATAATGTATTTACTCGGCGAGCGAATATACTAGACAGGTGTTTGATAAGATTTATCTAAATCAAATATCTCGTTCTATTGTATCATTTCTATGTAAATCTAGTTTTATTAATAAAACAGTCGTGGGCGTTCCACGGGAACAGAAAAATCGATTGTATTCAATTTACTACTACTACAAATCAAAGTTTGATGATTTCTTAAGTACATGTTATTCACAGTCTCATTAATTCGATACGATTGCACTATAGAAATATAAGTAACGGAATCCTTATGTAGATTAATAAATTCGTGTTTATTTGTCAATAGGAATTATTGAGGGATATATTACATGTAGTTATAGGTCTTTTTTGTAATAAAAATAAGGCTGAATAAATAAGAATGTTCCTGAATCTAAGTAACAAATATTCATACGTGTTTTTCAGATATTTAACCGCAATGATTTTTTTGTTAGACGAAATAAAATCATTTTTTTTATAAAATAAAAGTACATTGTTTGTTCCTTTTTGTCGTCTACTGGTCTCAAGGATAAAAGAAATAACAAGTGATTGATCAGTCTGTTATTGATTTCGTTTCTCTTATAATAACAGAATCTATTTATGTTTTTTTTCTTCGAACAGTATCATATTGAATCGCACAACAAAACAAGAAATCTACTATCATCGAATAATACATTTAAATATGAACGAAAACTCGCATTTTACTACACACAAGTTGAGCACCTCAGGAGATTCTCTCATCAGATTATAGATGAATCTATATTAAATAGACTAACAAATACCTGTTAATAATAATAAATATCTGTCGATTATTGAATATTTCGTTATTAATCTATAACAATCAATCAAATCACCAGATAATTATTCATCCATTAAAAACTTAAAAAATTATAGAAATATTAACATGAAAAAATAAAAGTTGAATAAATAAGTTATAAAAAAAAGATCGATCACTATTTTCGATTCGTTGCTCGTTTGGTTTTCGATTGTGATGTACTAGATGTTGATGAACCTGCTCCAGTTTGTTTCGATGGTCCGACATTACGTTTAATTTTAGTTGATGATTTATTTAATGAATTTAATGAATCTAAAATAGACACAAAATTAATATTCAATTGAAAAAATCCATATTTATTTACTTGTTAATATTGTACATATTTTTTGATCAATTTGATCAATATTAAAACTTGGTGTATAACGTTTATCACCGGTAGCACTATCAGCTAAACAGAAAATTATGTTTATACTTCATTATACAAAATATCGAATATATACTTTCAACTTTAAGTACATAATAAGAATTTCTTGCTGTCAGATATTGTGTAGCATAATCATTAAAATGTGCATTTAATTCTTTTAATTTTCCTTCATTATCCATAAGATCAAGTATTTCTAAAACAAAATTTTTTTTTTCCTATAGAAAACTTACAAACATATTATTCAATATACCCTCTTTTGGAGAACCAATAAGTATTTTCATATGATCTAATAATCGACGACAAGAAGAATAACTATTGAGAAGTATTTGTTGATTTTCTAAATATATTAATAACGAAAAAACAAAATAATATCAATTGAGAATAATTCATTACCACCGTGGATAACTTTAATAAATGTACAACTTCCTATGATAACAGATTTTTTTACATCCGTTCCTTTTACTGTTGAAGTCGAACTTATTGAAAAACGTTTCTCTCTTTCCATGTTTTATTTTACGTGTCTTTCAAGAAAAAATGAGGATTTTATTTTGTACTTCAGACATATTTTAGAAAAAAATTTCTCTTTTTGTATTGTTTACAAATGAATTTTCTTTTTTGTTGTTTTTTAAATTGTGTTTTAAGTAATATGTGCGCTTCAATGTCATCTTTGCTAAATGGATTCAATACTCCAAGGTTCGAGAATATTATACAAACATTTTTTTTTCAATTTCTACTATTATTGTAACATACCGTTTGTTAATAACATTGTTGAATAGGTGATCGTTACTAATGGATTAGAACATGCAAATAATGATGAAGGAGAAGATTCATTTATATTTGCTGAGTCAGCAACTGAAAAACTGCGACTTAATGAAACAGAATTATTCGATAATTGAGACTGAGTACGACGTGTTGATGAAGTTGGTACTGTACGTGAAATTATAGCTGCCATTATACAAGTAAATCGGACTGGTTGTGAATAAATTTAAACGAAAACAGTTTTTCCTTTTGTCGTTATGATTTAAAATCAAACCCCCATTTATGGTTGTCATAACAAAAATCAACGAAGAAAAAAAGAAAATCTCTTTTTTTTTCTGTTCCTTTTTCTTTATATACTTGACAAGTTTTTTTTTCAATTTGAAGAAGAAATACAATACAATATCATTTCAAAAATTAACTAGTGAATAAATTTATTTTGTCATATCAAAAGAAAGGAAGAAAGAAAGAGAAAAAAAACAAGACAATAAACTATGACAAGTCTGACATATACGAGAAAAATGAAACAAAAAAATAATAATAATAATAATTAATCTGACATAATTATTTTATAGAGACAACTAAAAAGCAAACAGACACGAATATTTGTTGTTTACCGAACACAAATACTGTATGGAAGAAAAAAAGTTTTACTCATCTTCATCGTCAAGTTCCTTTAAAATAAAAATATAGAAATTATGTTGTTTTTTTTTTAAAAAATATTAATTGTTTTTACTTGATCAATTTCCATATGATCATTATCTGTTGTTGATATTGATAATTGTTGTTGTTGTTGAAAGTAACTATGAAATAATAAGAAGAAAATCGTTTTTTTTGATTATTCGAATTATTTCAACTTACTAAGTTTCTAATTGAACAATAAATTTTCTAACAAGTAAACGTTCACGTAATGGATTTTCCGTTCGTCGTTGTCGAACACCTATATATAATAATAAAGATATTTCTTTTTGTCTACTATTTTATCTTACTAAATGTTGGCATTCGTAATTTTTGATAAGATAAAAAAATCATCATTGCACTTTCTTGATCCATTTTTATGAAAAAATAACTAATCTCAAGGACGAAATCGAACAAATAATAACTTTGACAGAATAAATGATGAACACAATGACTGGAATTGACTTTTTATTTATTATTGAAATATTTATTTAGATCAAAATAAAAATGATAATGAAAAAAGAATTATTTAAGGAAAAAATATTTAAATATATTTTCGTTGATTTTTTTTCTTAATAGATGTCG